GTCGAAACGTTGTACATTTGCTGTTATGTTAAACTTATATAAGTTTTTCTTCATTACCCATTCAAGCCATCTCCAACCATTATTATCCAAGTTTTATTCCTTTATTTCAAAAGAAACCTCTAAAACAATAATTAAAACAGCAGTTTTTGATCTCTTGTGATGCACTCATAGTTACAAATCTTAACTTAAAGAACTGGTGTAGAAGAAACTGTGTGTGTAATGTCGATGTTTTCTCTAAACATTCAAAGTACAGTGTATTTAGGTTATTTACTTGTAATTTGAGTATATTCCAAGAACTTTTCCCAGAGGAAGACATCATAAAAATTCCTCAGTTCTAGATAAGTCACGCCCACTTGAAAAGTAGAAGCTGTGTTGCTGACTGACAATTTTAAATTGAATGGCATGCTTATAACCAATAGAAAGAGCAGATTTTCCTCTATAATTTCTCTGGGTTATCTTGAAACAGTATGGGCTCAACTTGGAGTTGTGAATGGATATATTCTGTCTCTTTTTGGGACTCATGACTTCTCTGGATTACCCTGTCTCTCCTTTATGCACTCATATGTGTCCTCTTCAGTGGACTCTGGACAATTACTAGTGTATGTCCAAAGGCCCACCTTCTTCTCTTTACCTTTCATGTCATAGCGGCCCTAGTGGTCCCATATGACCTTGGGTATCTTGACTTACACCTGTTCGTAGATGCCTCTGTCTGGGTGTGGCATGGTTCTGGACATCTGCTTCCTTTTTTGCAATTTGTCTCCAATTGAGTGGCATCTTCATATTGACATCATTGAGTTGTTGCTTGCCATCATGATGTGTCATCTGACTGGTAGTATTGTTATGATCCATTCATACAATTCCAGTTTTTTCTTACTTCAACTGACATGGAGACATATGCCCTTGAAACTTCTACATTTTGATTGTCATTTGGGCTTATGACCACCACATTCAGTTCCTGATCTGTCATATCCCCAAAAGTTTGACCTTGTAAGTAGATTGCACGTCAACCTAAATGATGAATTTTCTCACTTGTGGTAAATGTTGCTCTGATATTTTTGACTTGGACATCTGCACATTTTATCACAGGAGCAGGTTAACTTTATTTCCAGACCATTTCTTCTTCTTCAGGACATTGGAGGGTAATCAGATGGTTTCTCCAGCCAATCTCCTCACCCTTTGCTCTCTGTATAATTGTTCCGACCTCAGTCATCTCCCCTGTCCTATCTTGGGGCAATTCATTGTTATCTTGCTCTTACTGCACATTGTCTTTTCTTGATGTGGGATTCCTTTTTTCACTAATAACTTGTATCCTTTCACTTTGACCAGTTTAATTAAATAACTCCTCTAGCTAGTGTTTTCTTATATGATTTAATCTTTTTTCATACCGCTTTCCATCAAATGCATTATCTCACAGCTTCTTGTGACTATAACTGTTGACATTTCCTGCAAGAGAATCTTCTAAGGATTTATAGTCGTCATTAACATTCAAAGCAGGTGAGCAACATTCTTGAGTAGGACTCATTGTATCTCCAAATTTGGATAAACAAAACTAATTAATGTAGCCTACAAACTTACATATCAAAAATATATTAGTCACAAAACTACTGTAATTTACTTGATATTGTAAGTAAGCTACAAATAAATTTAAGAAAATTCAGTTACTGTTCATAGCACCAAATTTGATCAAAACAAACCAACCAATTCATATATACTTGTGTCTCTCCCCATAAAAACCAAACAAGGCATCATAAGATTTGTGTAGAAGAGTATCTACTTTTACATTGGTTTTAAATATGTTCATCAGCCATCTAAGGTTGATTAGCAGTCTCAAAAGCTGGAGAGAAAGAAGAGGTTTCTTTGACATCGGTTTAACAAATTCATTAATATCTCAGCAAATTAAGTAGGTAGGAGGTCCAATAGGATTTTGTTTACAATTATGTACAGTGTGGGTTTCTAATTGGTTGGAAATTTTAAAGGCCTGTTATTGAAGTTACAAATTTTTAAAGTTGAGAAATCAAAACTCAAATGCATCACGTGACACAGAAAAATGAATACTGAGGATTTTTTAATATTTCCTTTGGAATTAAATAGTTAAAACGTAGATGAAATAAATATTTAAATTACAAACTCTATCCTTTATTAGAACATCTTACAAGCAGATATGTGGCTAAATCTGCGTGTTTATTTTGTTATTACCTTCAACACATCATTTATTTTCAATTTAAGTTTAAGGTTCACAGTTGTCACTTGTGATTACTTTCCAGGCTCAAAGAAATTTGACTCGTGCGTTTTATAGCACAATTGTTAGCAATTTCCAGGGTGTCTGGATTTGTAAATAATTTTGACTTCAAAACAAACTACAAAACAGAAAGATATAGTGATGTATAAAGTTGCTTATTATCTATTGAGAATCTGTATTTACTTTGATTCAACCAATCAGGACTCTTGCATGTTTTTAATCTCTGCTTTTGTCCTGTGCAGCTCAAGTATTTCTGTATTGCACAACACCACTGTTCACAAATCTAGTGGTGTCTGTGGTTGAGAAATATTTGATTATGAAAGAAAAATAAAAAGTAAAACAATGTTTCTTCTTTTTCTGAGTCTGTTTGTAGATTTGTTTAGTCATGATTTTTGTTTATTACATATACTTCTGTGTTTGTCCGAGACAAATATTTCACCCTCCATGCTGAATGTAGACAAGGGGCTCCATCTGGTGTCTGTTGATTTCTTGGCAGGTACCTTTCTCACTTGCATGTGAACATCCTTGAGTGCCATTAGAGATATTGAAAGTTGGGCTACCATTATCATTAGATAACTCATTTGTAACTGGGATGGAGTGTAATCTGTGTTTTTATTTTTATTTATTTTTTGTTTTCGTGTTCCCATTGCAATGCCCCCATGTTGTTGAGCCCATTCTTGGGGACTATTTGGATCTTCTGTTGGGTTCTTTCTGAGTGCCCACTGCCCACTAATATGAGTGGTTGTGTGACTCACTGGCCATTTTTTATATGGATGGTAAGGGGCTACTGCCTTGGGAATTGTCCTTTTATATTTCCTGTCTAGGGTTCTCTCCTGAAAACTTTTCACTGCAGAAGCAGGACATAGAATTGGTCCTACCTGTTCATGTGATCACATGTGTCCCACAGTTGGCTCACTGGATCCAATAGACTTACTTTTCACAAAACAGACCCACACCCTTTATCTGAATTAAAGGGTGGCATAGGCAAAGAGGTACCTTGATGAGAAGAATACCTTCTTTCTGTACGTTCTTTAGGTCCAGTCTTTCTATAAGCCTGGTTTAACTCGTCTCTCAAATCTAGTACTGGGAATTATTCTCTTGTTCTGGATTTTACTCCATCTTTTCTTGGCCACATATTTCTTCTAGTCTAATTACTGTTTTCCTGCTCTGTAACTTGTAGTTTTATATTTTCAATTTATTTTCATGTTCATTGGTTCCAACCTCCTTTACATTAGCATTACAGAAGTAAGTCTACCTGATTTGAATTTTACATTTTTAGAATTATAATGAATTTCCAACAGGTATTCCTCTGAATTACCTTTCCTTCCTCCTCTTTACAATTCAATTTTCATCATGGCTGTAACTTTCAATAAGATCTAAGCTATGGTGGAAAAGCAGAGATTTCATAAACATTGTAATTATCCAGTTCAAATGGAACATGCCTGTTTGTACACTTGGCTTCTAGTATAAATTCCTCTGACCAAAATCTCTAGATCATTCTTAATATACATTAACATGCTGGCCCTCTTTGAAGCATGTTTGTTCTTGTTTGTAGGGTGTCCAAACCCATTTGAACTGAAGGACTGCTAATAATAGATCATTCTTAATATACATTAACATGCTGGTCCTCTTTGAAGCATGTTTGTTCTTGTTTGTAGGGTGTCCAAACCCATTTGAACTGAAGGACTGCTAATAATAGAT